CTTAGTTGGGGGTATTTTTGGAATCTGAAAAGTACAATAAATCAGATTTTATGCTTAATTAGGTAACTTGCTGAGTTGGATCCTAGTCATGGGTTTTTACTTATACAAATTGGGTATTATTTATAGGAACAAAAAGTGAAGGGTTTTAGGTATGACAAATTGAATTTAAAGGGTGTAAGCCAAATTTACTATTTATTTTATGTAATCTTATGCAGCAAATATGACCTCTACAGCAAGAGCAAAGTACGAGTTGATGTCGAAAAAGTGAAGCCATATTATTTATCCCTCATTGAGAAGGTGAGTGCTGCTGTGCAGTTCCTCAGTAGGGGATTTTGATCCTTCTCCAACCGATCATATTCTAATTGGATGTGAATTTTATTGCAGTATTTCCCAGCAAAGCTGAGATGGTGAGCCATGAGAGTTTTCAACATGATCAATATGTGTAGTAAGGAGAAGATCAAGACTTCATTTGTTCAGTGATGTACAAACTGTTGGTTAAAGAAGAGGCGCCCTGCTCCCTCCAGCTACTTTTTGATGAGTTGTATTTTTTATTTATTTACATGTTTTAAGAAATGTATTCTTGTGCTGCTGCGCTGCGCACACCAAAATTCATGAACGAATTTCCCTAAGTTCCATTCTCACTCATAAAGATCAAAATTCATCCACATGAGATCCAACTTTAGATTTCCATTTCCAAGTTAAAATAAATCGACTTCCCTGAAGCTGGGAGTTCAAATAAATCAACTTTATATTATATCAATCAACTGTACAGCTGGATGATGATCAAACAGATTGCTGCTGCTGATTTATTATTTTTGAACAGCACTACTCTAGTTCATTACAGACAAATTGGTCAGCTCATTACGAGTTCCATGACAAAGGACTAATTATATTTTAATTTTTCCACTGTTTGCAAATTAGATTGAGAGCTGTACGCAAAAACGAATGTACAAACAAAACACAGTTGGGAAAGAAAAATAGAGAAAGAACCAAGTTGTACATTCTTACTATCCAACCAAATCCTCGTTAAGGGATTTAGATTGTATTCATTCCAATTACCAGACTCTATGAGCCGTATGTTCACAATTTCTCCCTTTATTTCGTCCCAAAAAAAGAAGTTTCTCCCTTTATGACAGATCCTAAACGAACACCATAGCGAAGCATTAAAAGTTGAAAGTAACTATCAGTAACTATTCATTAATCATAATCAAACAGTTAATAATCTCTTTGATGACCTAAGACGGATGCATTGCACAGTATTTTATCGTTAAAGGTGGCAGCTTTTGATAAGATACTATGTCGCAAAGAAACAAAAAAACAGGTGGTTTCTTATAGAATTTGATTGACAGATAATATAATTAACTAACCGCATCTATATTAGTTGGTCCAATCCAATAATTCTTCCACCAGGAAAAAAATAAAAAATCCAAAAAATCCATCAGGTGACGCATACCTTACATTAGTATAAAATGACTAAATGAGATTAGAATCGAAATAATATATAATTAGTGTTAAATCTAACCTAATCTCTGTTAATGATTACGTTACGCATCAGAAATCAGTGACAATCTACAGCGGTTTTGTTAATTGTAGCGAAAGACTGTGTTGCGCTTAATTTCTTTTTCTCTTTTTTCGCAGTTGGGGAAGTTGGATTGGAATGTTGAATTGAAGAAGAAGAAGCTTATCTGAAACTCAAAAGTCTGAAATACCTTAACAAAGAAGGTTGCACGTGCCACGCACACGTATGCTGCGTCGGTTCTGTTCTGCTTCCACCAGGCATCAGCTCTTCGTCTTCTTCTCTGTCTCAATCACAAAGCAACACCAATACGTGCTAATTTCTTATTAGATTGCTTACCATTTTCATGAAATTCTTATTTCTTAAAAAAGGTCTGGCTTTTACGTATTTGCCTAATTTATCCTCCCAATTTCTCACTCTAAGTTCCAGTCTTTGATCCAGAATCTCACTCAATTCAATACTCAAAACTCTCAAATCCCCAAATCCATGTCCCCAAAACCCAGAATTTGGGTTTTGTGTTGACCCATTACGATTCTGCAATCAATATCTAACTAGGGTTTTATATCTGTGATGAGTTTTGCCTCTTCAAGATGGCTGCTAATCCCCCGTGTCTTCTCCACCTTTTCATTTTCAACCTATTGGCCAGTTTCACCATAAACCCTAGTCTCTGCGCTGATTTAGACGATGAATTCTCGGTCCTCGGCTTCGGTTTCGATCAGTTTCAGGGAGACTACACGCCTCCTTCGCCACCTTCGAGTCCGCCGCCACCTCACCCTCCACCGCTCTCGTGTCAGGGGGGTCTCAATGGAATTGGGTCTCTGGACACCATTTGTGAGCTCAACTCAAGCTTGATTCTTGAAGATGATGTGTTTATAGAAGGCAATGGGAGCTTATATATACACCCTGGTGTTAATTTGAGCTGCCCACTATTGGGTTGCTCATTTGTGGTTAATATTAGTGGAGAATTTAGTTTAGGTAGCAATTCAATGATTATTGCAGGTTTAGTTTCGGTTAATGCTTCAAATGCAAACTTGTCAATAGGGTCAGTGATAAACGTTACGGCATTGGCTGGGGCACCCCCGCCGCCGCCTAGTGGCACCCCAGAGGGGGTGCAGGGCTCTGGTGGAGGGCATGGTGGGGGGGGTGCTAGTTGTGTGACCGATAATACGAAGCTCCCTTCCGATGTTTGGGGTGGGGATCCATATGCGTGGTCATCTTTGGATGAGCCCGTGAGTTATGGGAGTAAGGGTGGCACGACTAGTAAGGATGAGAAGGATGGTGGGGAAGGAGGTGGGAGGATTTGGTTAGAGGCCAGAAGTTCAATTGATGTTGGTGGGAGTGTTTTGGCTGATGGTGGTGATGGTGGGATTAAGGGTGGAGGAGGGTCTGGAGGCAGCATATTTATCAAAGCTTATAGAATGTAAGTTCTTTAGCTGTTGCTTGTTTAACTGGAAACAATGACTCACTAATACTTATACCTATTTATTTTTTTGAAAAGGACTAATACTTGTGCCTATTAATGCTCAATCATGAATTGAGATGCTATCAGCTTGTGTTGTTCTTCCATTGCATACCTACAATTATTTTTCTGTGGAGAGCAGGACTGGAAGTGGCAGGATAAGTGCAGTGGGGGGTAATGGATTCGCTGGAGGAGGAGGTGGCAGAGTTTCCATCAAAGTTTTCAGCAGGCGTGATGATACAGATATCTTCGCTCATGGTAAGTCAAATATTATTCTTTGTAATATATTTTTGTATATAAAAGAAGTTGTTTAAGTTTATCTTTTGTAATCTGTAGAGAAAGAACTTGCTTTTGAAAGAACCATTGGAACTCCTTTGATTTTGTACATTAATTCTGGTATATTAGTGATGTTCTGCTTCTTCTGGCAGGGGGAAGGAGTTTAGGCTGTCCTGAAAATGCAGGCGCTGCAGGGACATATTATGATGCTGTACCTCGGAAACTTATTGTCAGTAATCACAACTTGTCCACACAGACTGACACTCTTCTGTTAGAGTTTCCTAAACAGCCACTTTGGACCAATGTTGATATCAAAAATCAGGCCAAGACTTTGGTTCCTTTGTATTGGAGCCGTGTTCAGGTAATTGAAGAACTAACATTTATTGCTTTGTGCTGAAGGGGTTCTTCTTGTCTTAATGTTGATATTCAAAATAAAAAACATGCGTTATAAAGTTTGAATTATGTTGAAATTGTAATGCATTGTACAGGTTCGAGGTCAAATTCGTTTAAAATGTGGTGCAGTTTTGAGTTTTGGTCTTGCACATTATGCTTCATCAGAGTTTGAGTTAATGGCAGAAGAGCTTCTGATGAGTGATTCTGTTGTCAAGGCAAGTGGCAGATTTACCATTTTTCTTTCTTTCTATTCTTACTTTTTTCTAGAATTTCATGTTTCTTGCATATCTGACCAGCTAGGCACAAATAAATTGGGGGTGGGAGTGGGATGGGTAACATGCAAAAATAGATAAACGCATGCACATCTCATACCTTGTAAGACTTTAACATTTGAGTGTCTACTTTCTTTTCCTAATAAATTCAGATATTTGGGGCTCTTCGAATGTCTGTCAAAATGCACTTGATGTGGAATTCTAAAATGCTTATAGATGGTGGCGCTGATGCACTTGTGGCAACATCCTTGCTTGAGGCAAGCAATTTAGTGGTTCTCAGGGTATGTTGAAACTTGAGCCTTAATTTTACACCTAAAATAACAAGTAATATAATATTATGTTGTCTACAGTATCAAGTCATGCTTCTGTAATTGGTTGTCAGGGGTCGTCTGTGATACATTCTAATGCAAATTTGGGAGTTCATGGACAAGGTTTCTTGAATTTGTCTGGGCCAGGAGATCTGATTGAAGCACAACACCTGGTTCTGTCTCTGTTTTTCAGTATCAATGTAAGCTGTGTATTTATTGTGTAGTTTTTAAGAATTCACCATTTTTTAAATCCATGTTTTACGAGTTTCAGGATTATGATGCAAAGTGTTCAGTTTGTCTCTCTAAAGTTCCACCATCATATACATAGAATTGTTGGCATCTGAGGAACAATGATTTTGGCATCAGTTTTCTGTTATTTGAATTTGGAACTTTCATTGGTTTGTTAATTTCATTTTTGACATAATAAGCAAATCCAATGAGCATATATATGAGAAAAAAAAAAAAAAAAAAATCTTATCCACATGGTCTGATGTTGTTACTTGTCAAGCTGTGTGAATTCTGAAATGTACTATATGATTTGTGCCACTAATCACATATTATCTTGTTGCATTGCCATGTACTTACTGAATCTTCTGTTTGTAATATGAAGGTTGGACCTGGATCTTTACTGCGAGGGCCTCTGGACAGTGGCAGTAGTAATTTGACGTAAGTTTTAAATTCATAGTTCTCAGTGATGCCATTTTATTTTGTGTATTTATTTATTTATTTTTGGAGTTGATTTTCATTTTGGGCCTGGTAGGAAACCTCAACTCAACTGTGAACTTCCAAACTGCCCCATGGAATTACTTCATCCGCCCGAAGATTGTAACATGAACTCTACATTGACCTTCACTCTTCAGGTCTCCCATTGATCCAGATTGAGAACTAAGTACTTATCTTGGTCAATTTGCCAAACTTTTATTATGGTTGAATAGATTCCACCTTGTTTTTCTGATATATGGTTGGCTTGGCTTACTACTCCAGATCTGTCGTGTTGAAGATGTTATTGTTGAAGGCATTGTATCTGGATCTGTTATACATTTTCACTGGGTTAGAGCTGTAGCAGTCCACTCTTCTGGGGTAATTAGTGCATCTGGGCTAGGTATGTGTTTTTGCGTTATTTTTTAACAATTTGGATTGGAAGTAGAAATAAATGATTACCTAAACAATGCATTTTAAGATTTAAGGAATCTCTATTTCAATGTGTAGGTTGCACTGGTGGGATGGGTAGAGGAAAGTTTTTTGTAAATGGGCTTGGTGGTGGCGGGGGCCATGGTGGCAAAGGTGGGGATGGGTATTACGACGGAAATTTTATTGAAGGTGGTGTTTCCTATGGAGATGCTGATTTACCTTGTGAACTTGGTAGTGGCAGTGGAAATGATAGCCTAGCTGGTGCAACTGCAGGTGGTGGTATTATCGGT